ATACTAAGGACAATATCAGTTTAGAAGAGGGTAATCCACAACTTCTAATATGCTTATATCTTATCAAGAAAAAGAGGTAATCCACTCTTAATCAAGATTAGACAAAGCTCTGATATTGTAGGTATACTCTTATCAATCTGTCAAGGACAAGAACTTGATGAAAAAAAGAATTCAAACAAGTGAGCCTTCACTCAAAGAGAGGTAACAAAATATATATAAACAAGTATATATATTGAAAGAGAAACTGGAATGGCTATTGCCAAAAGACAAGAAAACTAGAGACCCTTGAAACTAGACTAGAAGCAAGAAAGAAGTTGACAAGAGTGAAGAAGCCTTCACTCTTGTCTCTATATATATTATCTAACTAGGGGCTACGTGGCGACGTTCTATAGGACCTTCAATATGTGTTGACTTTGTAGGACACATGCCTTGACTTACAAGGCAAGTTTTTCTATGTGTGGGCCACATAGTTAGTTTGATCTTCAAGCTAACAACATGTGTGGCACATGGCCAACTTGTTGACCACGTTTCTAATCCAAAAAGTCAATTAAAGACACCTATGAAGTCAAAGCAGCATGTATGAAGCTTCTAGGAAGCTTTCATATTAAATACTATAGAATTTACTTACTTTTACATACTTTTACTTACTTCTACCTATTTGTATATGTAATTACTAGCTTACATGATTATGTCCGTGATAATAACTTAAAAACCCTCATTGGTCTCAAATCACTTAAAGTCAATGTTTAAAAAACCTCTCTTCTATTTACTCTCAAACCTTGCTATTTAATCAACCAAAGAACCTTAGAATTGTCATAGGTGTGTTGTTTTAAGCCTTAGGATCAAATTTTGATCTTGCTTTTCAATTGGTCCTTTGAAGATATCAATTCTTTATATTTTTAAATAATTTTGGTTAAAATCAATTTTTAATCTTCTCTCAAACATGCATATATTTATTACTTATTTTATTTACTTTTATTTGATTCATTTATGGCACTAAAAAGTAAATAGAAATTTTTTATAAAAATATAGCATTAAGACTAGAATTTTTCCTACCTTTCTATTTTTTATCCTTATTATTCTACTTTATCTATCTATTAGATTTTTTTTATAACAACATCTATATTTTAATTTTTTACCATATAATTGTGTTTCTATACAACATCAATTGTGAATTAAGATTGAAATTAGACCCTTTGGCACAAAACCATGCATTCACAATAATTCTAGGCTTCTTTGATTGATTGAGGAATAGATTTTGAGATTAAAACTTGTAAAAGGTTCTTTGGGCATTGATTTTGATTGATTTGATTGTATATTGACTTAATGAAGGCTTTACAAGGTCAAGGTAATTTTAGAATTACTTTAGATTTTGAAAAATATAAAGAATTTATACTTTAAAAAATTTTATGAAATAAATTGATAATCTATGGGTAAAATTTTATATTTTTTTAAGTGATATTATATTAAATTATTTCTATAATTTTGAGCTTAATCTAAAGATTTGTTAAAAGATTATTAGAATTTAAACATATTAGAGTCTCAAGAATTGGAATTTAGAAGACTAGTGAGGATTTATAAGAATTACAGCATCGCAATGCTTTGATTGAATAAAACATTTGTAAGATAATATTTGACTTGATTGTAAACATCTTCATAAATTTTAAAAGCCATAAAACAATGTAATTTAGAGATACCATCATTGAAAGATTGGCATCAAGGTTAGAGAGAGAGGCCACCCAATATCCAAGCGAATTATTAGACTTATCTTTTATTTAGTAAGTTTGATCATCTTTATATTTTTTGTGCTTTTTTTCAACTTAGTAATTGAAAGGTGTACAAAGTTTTGGTTGAAATCTACATTTGATTTATTAATTATTAAAATTTTAATATGCTGTAGGATTGGTTAAGAATTTAAGAATTGGTTAAGATTTAAGATTTCATTGAGCTTTTATTAAGGTTTTATTTAGGATTTAGGATTTAATTAAGATTTATTTAGGATTTTATAAGAATTTGATTAGGATATTATGAGAATTTGATTAGGATTTTATTATGATTTATTTAAAATCATGTTAAGATTAGATTATGATTTATTTATGTTTTTTCTATATTTAATAAAATATAAATATTTTATTATTTTTTATTATTTTTTAGTATTATATATATATATATATATATATATATATATATACCTTTTTTTATAATTAATTTAAGATTTTTCATGTTTTTTTTGTAATTTCTTTAAGGCTTCTTTTCAGATTTGATTAAAGTTTGACTAACATTATTAAGATTTAATTGGATTATTTTAGGATTCTATTAAAATTGGTAAGATCTTGTTGTTGTAGTTTCTATTTTTCCCTCCATAGTTAAATCTTGGATGCATTCAAAAGCAAACTTCATATAATATAATAGTAGTACAAACAATGTAATATCATTCAATAATAAGAGATCATGTCAAATTATATTAAATTCTTGTAATGTTTGGGAGAAGCCAAATTATATGAAAAAGCCTATAAATTCAAGAAGTCTCTAAAAAATATTAATAAATCTTTAACAAGAATTATTAAAGCAAATTAAATTCATCTAATTTTCAACATGAAGAAGACTTTTAAGAAGTAGAAGTCAAACTTACTAAAAAATTTAAGGAAAGAAAAAAATATTTTAATTGGAATCTTAATAGTAGAGCTTCACAAAATGTAACAAGCAATAAATTAATATTAAGCCACCTTAAAAAAAAAAATCAATTTTATAAAATAAGAATAGCAGCTGGCAAAGCACATATCACATTTCGACAAAGATAAATTTATATAAAAACTAAAAATTAAAAGTCATAGAAAATAAGTAATGTTCTGTTTGTACCCTCTTTAATTTATTTTTTTTATTAGTTGGTTCTTTTGCAGATAAATGAAACATAGTTATTTTTTTAATTTTCAAATGTTGGATTATTGATTAAAAGGAAAAACAACATATGATTACAATTGGATCTTAAAAACTAGGTAATAATTTATATTAAATAAAACAATCCTCATTCAAAGTCAATTCAACCATAGCAGAAAAGAATAAGTTATGGCACAATAGGTTTAAACATTGTATTTATTCTAGCTTAAGACAACTTCACACAAACAAAAAAAGTAAAAAGATTACCTCCTATTGAAATTATAACTAAAGATATTTGTGAAGCTTGCAATATTAGTCATAAGCATCAAAAGAAGTTTTCAAAACAATTTTTTTAACAAATCAAATAAATTATTCTAATTAGTGTATGTTGACCCAATTAGACTAATTTTAAATCTTTTTTAAGTAAAATCAAGTATTTTGCAATATTTATTGATGGTTCTTTCTTAAAGAAATTGAATTATTAAATTAAAGAAAAATATTGATCTTAAAGACAAAAAAGATGATATAAATTTTAAAATTATATTCTCTATAATAATAGATAATATAAAAAAAATGCAATACCAATATATACTAAAGTAGAACTTCAAGAAAATGAAAGTCAAGACATTGAACAAAAAAATATACATCTCCAATCTCAAATTCCAATTGAAACATTGGAGATGTCTTATTTTACTAGAAGCTTGCTAAACTCTCCTATCACACTCTTGCTTACATCTTTTGATTTGCCTCTCCAAACATGCCAACTCTCTAAATAAATGAGAATGGATAGATTCATACAACCATCAATAAAACTTAGAGATAATTGGCTACTAAGTATTTATGCTCAAATAGATCCTATTAAATACTTTAAGATAGTTAAGGATAGCAAATGGAAAGAAGATATCAATCAAAAAGTAAGAGAAATAAAGAAAAAAAGACATATGAGAAATTTGTGTTATCCTACCTTATTTTGAAGGGTATAGAATTAATAGAAAGGTATGCAAACTAAAACAAGTAATATTTGATCTTTATTAGTATTTTAAGCTTAATATAGAAGAATTAATAAATATTTGCAAAATATAGGATTGTTCAAGTTGTTAGCAAATCCTAATCTTTAAATTTGATATTATAATGATAAATATATACTTATCCTATTAGATATAGATGATCTAGTTATCAAATCAGATGATAAAAAAGAAATCATCAAAGTTGAAAGTAAATTACTATCCAAATTTGGAAGTTTGCTAAATTTGTTAAATAAGGAACAACTACATATTAGCTTTATTATGACCTATGTAAGCAAATACTATACATTACCTCAAATGTTACATTAAAAAGTATGAATGCTTATTCTATGCTATCTAAAAGGTATAGTAGAATTTGAAATTTATTACTCAAGGAATTTTTTTTGAAAATAGATTACTTATGCTAATGCAGATTGGAGACAAGATGAAGATTTGAGTGGTCTACGTATAGACTGATGTATAAGATTGGGAACTTGCCACTTAATTGGAGCTCAAAATTACAAAGCACAGTAGCTTTATCTACGACTAAGGCTTAACACAAAGTGTTATTTGAAGCAGTAACAGAGATTACATAGCTTCAAAGGTTATTTAAAGATTTGCATATTTATATCAACAAAGAAACTTTAATTATGAGTGATAATCAAAAAAGTATTAAATTAGTTGCAAATCACATACTGTATGCATGAACTAAATACATTGAAATGCATTTCTACTTTATTTGAAAAAAAACTTGACTTGGTGAGGTCCAAGTATAATATATTCGTACTGAAGAACAATTAGTTGACATACTAACTAAACCTATCCATAAAATATAACACTAAAAATTAAAAAAGGATATGGGGCTGAAAGAGCTGCCTTCTTAATTCAACACCAACTGCATGCTGAATCATTGATCTATATTTTTATACAATATTCACATGGTAACTTCTTTCTTTATATTCTCACTATATATTGTCATAAATAAATATATATATATATATATATATATATATGCTCATCTCTATATTTATGCAATAAGTGTTTAAGTTTAATACCTTTGGCTATGACAATTTATCAATACCCATAAATATCAACCTTTACATACATTAAATTATCCCATTGATCGGTAGATTCTATTTCTTGTTTCCAACTTTTATTCAAACTATGTAGCCTCATAAGCCAAAATGGGTTATTCACAGCTTACAGTCTATTCACAATTTCCTTTCTTACAAATTTAATATCAAGCTGTAGCTGAGGAAGTAATACATTAGATGATGATGACTCAAACTCAAGAAAACTTACACTGCTGAGAGGGAGGTCTTCGTACAAGACATCCTCTATCAAAGTGTCTGGTTCGGAAACTACATTGCAGCCTGTATTCTGCTCTGCCTCTAGTGCTGCTTCTTTAATTTGCTTAAGGGTCTCGAAAAGTAGCTAGTAGGGGTAGGAAATTACTACATCGCACCCTTTTCTGAAAACTGTGACCAGGAGCCAAGGACCTATGAGCAACAGCTCCCACTGAAATTGTGTGAGTACTCAAAATTACTTAAACAAAAGAAAACAAGAAAGAAAAGTAAGATCAAACACAGCATCGACTCACCGTAGAGAGGTGTTCGACTCGGTCCTGGAGCGCCAAGGTGCTGAACCTTGAGATGGCAGCGAATGCGCACCCTCACATGGAAAATGTGAAAAAGAGGGAAACCCCAGGCGAGAGGGAGTGTTGGCGAAAAGTATGGGTTGGGTATGCATTAGTAACGAACAAAAGTGGTCATCTAGTTAGAACAGATTTTAGAGTTGAAACTTAAGGTGAACTGATCGAACAACTCTTCTTCGAAATGTATATGTTGAATTCTGCTATGCGAATAAAGTGACTCTCTTATGTTTATGAAAATTTTACAAGTGACTCAAATCGTGATAGATCATCACGTGGATCCCCGCATTTTTGTGTACCATCTGTATTATCGAACATCACGTAATAGATGCCTATGGCTTTTATCTGCTCAAGTTAAACTAAAAGCCGCACAATTATCCTGAACCCAATACTGGAAATAGCGGTCTTTCTATTGAACACTTAACCACGACCTCTGAAATTGTCTGGAATTACATGTCTAAAAGCATCAAAATAATGATTTGTAAGACTGCAGTCCCTCAAATGAACAATAACCACACTTATTTCCGCATTCATAATTACATGAAATCTCGTTCGCCGACAGTTAAAACCGAACAAGATTATATCCACACTGATCTGCAGGCTTCAGTCGTCCGAGAAGCCGAGCTCAAAGCGTGCTGTCATGAGAGCTACATACGCGTAACACTTTCGATTTCTCCAACAATTCATGCCATGAGCTGATGTACTGTTCAAAATTCAAGTAGCGGCAAACTACACTGTCGTGCAAGCAGCGAAGGATAGAGGCGCGTGATGAAGCGACGTGATTGATGCTGAACACTACCTAATCGCGGCCATTCTTTCACTTCTCAGAGCACGAGCACTTGGTCGCTGAAAAACTGGTCACATTCGGATATCGCATCAATTTTTTATAATACCGCTGTGCATGGTCACAATTCCAAGACTGCGCCGATTCCCAAGGATGAAAATCGGTTTCCGATTACCTCCAAACAGTTAACAACCACAAAAGTCTGGTTGTCCGCAGCTGACCAGTTCAAACCTGGCAATAATATCAGCAAGATTAAAAAAAAAAAAAAAAAAAAAAAAAAAAAGCTATGTCGGGGTGGCCGCAACACGCACAGTTGTCTGCAATGCGGGGAGAAACCCAAGTGGTGGAGGAGTGAACTCCAGCCATCTGCGATCAAGCTAACGCATACAAGTCACACTGCGCGTGGCTGCTACCGTTAGAGGATGCACAAGAGCTGTGGCGCTCATCACCGACGCCGTATAAATGGATGAATACTTTCGTCGACAAATGAGTTATGATCTGCTGATAAGGGTGATGGAATGTTCTAGAGAGGATGCTGACGGCGTGCATCCTCATGACCGGCCCTATTTCCGCGGCGCACTTGGGATCTCGGTTCCTTCCGCAAGTGCCAGCTCCTCGGCAAATTCAATGGTTCCCTTGGTCACCCCTGAAGCTCTCCGGTCTGTTTTTACTGACTTGCTTTTCCTGACTTAGATAATGCTTTGGCATCTAGTGGTTTTAACTTTGTTTTCCAAATATATTTTTCTTACTATCAGTCGATTTTTGAAAATTTCAAAACTGTTATTATGTGAGTATTTGATGTTTTTATAAAAAAACTTATATATATAATTTCTTATAAACTTATATACTCTTTGAAAATGATTTGTGGTAGTCTATCAAATAATACATCAAATTCATGTTGTAATACAAAACCTAAAAAAGATCTTCAAAACATTATATCCTTTTTTATTTCTTTATATATATATATATATATATATATATAGTTTCTCTTTATAGAACTTATTGTCTAAAAGAGTGGACAATATAAAAAATGTCTAAATTACTTAAGTAAATAGAATTAAATAGAAGTAAATAGAAATAAATAGAAGTGAGTAGAAACATGTTGACTAGATCATATCTTTTTTGTAAAGCTTTGAATAGTTTTTAAAAACTAGATTAGATATTTAGACTTTTCTAAATATGCTATGTAGCTGTTGAAATTTTTCTTGCAACTTCTCTATTTTCAAAAGTTGTGCTAAAAAATCCTAAAACTTAATGCTTAAGGCATAATCCTTGTAGTTTTTAAGAAGCATCTACAAATCATTTTTCATAGTTAATATATATAAAAAATAAGATTGAGTCCATAAACAATCTTATCAATACAAAATGAAAATAAGAAAGTATGTATATTAAAAAATAAACTAAAATAACTATTTCTAAAAGACAAAAAAATTATAAATCCTTGAAACTAGACTGAAAGTAAGAAAAGAACTGACAAGAGTGGAAAAGGCTTCATTCTTGCATCCATATATCTTATCCAACTAAGAATTACTTGACAAAATTCTATAGGACCTCTAACATGTGTCTAATTTGTAAGACTCATGCTTTAACATACAATCAAGTTTCTTATATGGTGCCACATGATTAGCTTGTATCACAAGCTATCAACACATATGACATGTGGTTAATATTTTATCCACACATAAATATACCTAGAGTAAAATTAAAAAATTATATGTATATTCATATAACTTATACAAAAACTTAAAATATTATGGTTTTAATTTTATTTGTTATTTTAAATCATTTACTCAATAAGTAGTTATATTATAATTTTTTAAATTTATTTATCAATCATACAAGGATTTTTATATCTATAAGCTTATTCTAAAAGACAGTGATAAAAGAGTCACTAAGATTGTAAAAAAATAATTCATTTAAAAAAGCTTTGGCCTTTTTAATTTGAATAAAAATACAAAAGAACATAAAATAGGTTAAATAAATCTTCAATTTAAGTCTAAACACAACTAACAACTTATTTTTATCATAAAAATAAACATAAAAAATTATTTAGTTAATTTTATAAATTTTTATTTATAAAATTTATTTTATTTTTAAAGTTTTAATACAATTAGAAAATTTCAATTAGAAAATTTGATAAAAATTTCATTGGTTTTTTATCCAAACTTTATTTGGTAGAAATTTAATTTTTTTAATTTTTCAAAACATTATATATTTAAATTATATATATATATATATATATATATATATATATATATAACAAGATTAAAAAATTGATTTCACAATTAAATATTTTTAAAAATAAAATTAATCAATAATAAAGCTTCAAATTTAAATTTTATTTTTTTATGGATAATTTTTTTTTATAAATATTTAATTGAAATATTTTATAATACTAATAATTAAATTCGATGTTAAAGAAACGTCCAAAACTTTTTAAACCTTAGCAATGTAATACACAAGATTAAATAGCTTTGATTCTTTTAATTCTACAATACAAAAGTTAAAAGTTCCATCTAGTAGTAGATGTAAGAAATTAGAAATTAGAAAGAGACAATAGTTTAGAGTAGCAAAAAGATTTAAATATTATTAATATAGAAGTAAAAATAATTTCTTTATATTATAATAATATTTTAAAAATAAGTTTAAAAGTATATCTTTTTATAATCAACCATTTTTATTTAATTTTTTAGATTAAATTCATATAAAAGTAGTATAATTTATAAAAGAAGGAGATAAAAAAATTAATAAATAAAATAAATTTGACTACATTAATTTTACAAAAATTTAAAAGATAAATACTTGAATATATTTGCTTTTTATATTTTTAAAAATTATAAAAATTAGCTTAAGTAATTTTGAAATAAGTTATTTTAATTAATATCATTGAAAAAAATATAAAAAATATAAAATATTTATATACATCTAGCAAAATCTCATACTATTGGGCATAGCAACAATCTCTAATATTATCATCCATCCATTTTATAATTTATCTATTTTTCTTTATTCTCATATTTTTTTATTTAGCAAATGAAAAGTGTTGTTTTCATTGTGTTCAAGCTTCAGTATACCAAAGCAATTGAACTAATAGAGGTGGGTTTGAATACAAGAAAAGACTGATTGTATGAATTAGGTCTGTTAGTGTCACAATTGACTGTATTCTGGCTATCTGAAATCAAGTATCAAACTACAAAACACTGAGGCTTACTACTTCCATCTTAATACAACCCATAATCCATTCTACAATTATCAATTCAACAATACTTCTCTCAATCACAATTCTTCATAAGCAAATAATAAAGAAAACAAAGAGGTAGTACCAAGCTTACGACTCTCAGTCTGGCTCTCGGCTTACGACTCTCACAGTCTGGCCCTCGGCTTACAACTCTCACAGTCTAGCCCTCGGCTTATGACTCTCACAATCTGGCTCTCAGCTTACGATTCTCAGAGTTTGGCTCTCGGCTTACAACTCTCACAATCTGGCCCTCGGCTTACTTTTCCTCAACCTATTTATCCTACCAAAAGATGATCCATTGGCCAACAGATTACAAAGGTTATGATCATTTGAATTCTTAACCATTTATTCCACTAATAACCTACTGTTACCAGCTAAACTGCCTAATCATCAGTCTAATTCTCAAGATTGTCAATAACCAACCAGTAACTTACCACAAAGTTTATTTACCTATTCTACAAAAAGCCTTCATTGTCTCTATTATAGACATCCAATAAGAAGATTTTAGAAATATTCTATTAAATTTTATAAGATTTTAAAAAAAATTAGAAGCTTCTATATGGTTCTTAAAATATTCAAGTAGATTCTAAAAAGTTCTAAGATGATTAAAGAAGTTTTCTAAGAAGCTTCCTAAGGTTGCTTTATCTTCAAGTAACATAAAAATTTCTTAAGAAGCTTCCTAATACTTAGTATATATTGGATTTGGCTAAAGAAATCTTCAATCTCAACAATATATCTCTTGGAATTCTAGCTTACCTTTTTTGGTATTGATCTTATACTTATATGGTTTAATCAAGTTCTTATTAATTTTTTATTAAAATTCTTTCATTCAACTTCTTGTTTGATTTCTTATATAATATATCTATGATAGTTTGTTAAGTCTCCTCTCTTATTAATACTAGAGCTTAATCATTCTTAATAGAGAGTGGATCATCTTTCTTTTTAAAGATATTTAATATTTTTAGAAATTGAGAAGTATCTTCTTCTAAACTGATATTATTTAGATATTCATTTTTTTTCTTTTAAGATTGCTAGAGATGAAGATGTTAGTATGGTTGAATCTATTGAATCAAATTTAGATTTTATTATGAATATATTGAATCCTTTCGATTGTAGAATTGTTAAAATTGAGAGTTTTTTTGTAAGATTTCATAATAATATAAGACCTAGAGTAGGTCAGCCTATGATGCAATTACTTTCTTAATCTTCTATATCTAAAGAGGCAATGGCATGTGTACCTCAACAAAAAAATTACCTATTCAATAATGTAAGGAGTCTCAAAGAATTGCTTATTATATCAAAAGAGAGATTCTATATTAATTTATGTATTTAATTTTAAATAATTAGCCTATAACATCAATTGAGATGAATAACCTCTTATGAATCAATTCTATTAGAGATTAAGGAATGATATGAAAGACTTATTATGGTCATTATCTAATCTTCAAATATTCATTGAAGCTATTCGTCAAGTTGTGAAGTACAATAATTGATTATTTTAATGCCATTAAGGTCAACTTTTGTAAACTTTGATAGAGCAACACACTAAAAATTTGTATTCTATTACTTCAACAAATATATTACTTCCATATTTTAGAGCTGAGGATATTATTATAGATATATATTTATTGTAATTATTATCTAAGTAATATGAATAGATAGAAGTAAATAAAAATAGATAAATTTCATAATATCTTTTAAAGAAGCTTCTTAAAAGCTTTTTAGACACTACTTTGACTCTATATATGTTTGTACTTGATTAGTAGGTCACAAACTTGATCAACAAGTTATCCATGTATTACTTGTGTTGATAGCTTATGGAACCAGCTAACTATGTAGTACTATATAAAAAATTTGCCTTGCAAGTTAAGATATATGTTATGCAAAGTCAATATATTTTTGGAGGTCCTATAGAACGTTGCCACATAGATCCTATGTAGATAGTATATATAGAAGCAAGAGTGAAGCCTTCTTCACTCTTGTCAATTCTTTTTTTGCTTCTAGTCTAGATTCAAGTGTCTTTAGTTTCTTTGTCTTTTGGTAATAGCTATTTTAGTTTCTTTTTAATATATATATATATATTATTTATTCTATTTTTTCTCTTTTCTTTTGACATGGATTTCACAAATTTATGCATCTTCTTTCAATTCATATCCTTGTCAGATTGATAAGAATACACTTACAATATTAGAGCTTTATCTTT